TTTTCTATATATATTTAGTTGTTTTTGGCTAATTTCTTTCTAGTTTAGTAGAGACGGCGTCTCGCTCTTGCTCAGGCTGGTCTCGAACTTCTGACCTCGAGCAATCCTCCCGCCTCGGCCTCCCAGAGTGCTGGGATCACAGGCGTGAGCCACCGCGCCTGGCCGAGATGTGCATTTTATTGAGATCCTTCCGGAGCAGAGTGGAGTCCAGCGGGGTGAGGAGGTTGTCGCTGTAGTCCCGAAGGAGAGGACGCTGCCAACAGACCTGGCCTGGGAGTAGCACACGAGGCTTGGTGTGAGAGTCCTTCGGGGAATAGAGCCAGTTGACAAAGCACAGAGTCAGGGTGGCAGAGGTGACACCATTTTCTACTTCGGATTGACGGTGGTGACTTTGACCAGGTTGGGGAGGAACAAGAGGATCAGGTGTTTTTTTTTTTTTGAGACAGAGTCTCACTCTGTTGCCCTGGCTAGAGTGAGTGCCGTGGTGTCAGCCTCACTCACAGCAACCTCCACCTCCTGGGCTCAAGCGATCCTCCTGCCTCAGCCTCCCGAGTAGCCGGGACGACAGGCACGCGCCCCCATGCCCGGCTAAAGGATGAGGTCTTGAACGAGGGGGGAGAGAAGGCGAGGACGTTGGCCGCAGGCAGCAGGAGGAAATGCAGGTCCTGAGCTCAGGCAGGGGATAAAGCCCTGGAGTCGGTGGCCTCTAAGAGGTGGCCAAGGGTTTAGGCGCAGCCAAGCTTGCTGATGACACTTAGGAGAGCACAGGGCCAGGGACAGAGCACTTAAGAGACAGGCTTGACTGTCGAGGCACCGAAGAAGATGGGAGGGAGCACGGGGCAGGGCGCTCAGAGACTCACTCTGAGGCCTGAGCAGGACCGCAGAGTCTGGGGGACCCAAAGTCTGACTATGGGGTTCTGGGGACGGCCATGCGTGTCCCCCGTCCCTGGGTGGGCTCAGGGCCTGTGACCTGCCTGATGTCGGGGCGGTTCCTTTCGTCTCCTTGCCCTTGTGTCGTCGTGCCCGCCGCGGCCCGGCCTCGCCTAAGGAAGGACTCTGCTGGCCCTCGGTGAACTGAGTCACCGCGCCCTGGCGGCAGGGGCTCATGTCTGTCTGTCTGTCTGTCTGACTCAGGTGGTGGTCGTCCAGGCCATCAGCGCCCTCTGTCAGAAGTACCCGCGCAAACACGCCGTCCTCATGAACTTCCTGTTCACCATGCTGCGAGAAGAGGTAAGAGTCGGGGGCGTTCGGGGCCTGCAGGGAGCAACCTGGCTGCTGGCTCCCAGCTTGAACTTGAACTTGAACTTGAACCCGCTCTGGGTGTTCTCAGGTCAGCCTGCTGACCAGCTGGTTTCCTTGCTGCCTGGGGCTCTTCACACTCCTTGTGGACGCACAGTGTAAACAGGCCGGGTGCGGCGGCGCACGCCTGCGATCCCAGCACTCTGGGAGGCCGAGGCGGGAGGATCGCTGGAGGTCAGGAGTTCGAGACCAGCCTTAGCAAGAGCAAGAGCCCATC